AATTAGAAAGAAAAGGGAATAAAAAAAAAATAAAATAATTAAAATATAATATGCAAAAGAGATATAAAAAGGAAAATAATAATCATTGTAAAATTATCAACGTATACCTATACATATATATATATATTAAATTATTAATATATATATATTATTTATAATTATCTAATTAGATATATATATATCGATATTTCATTTTGACATTTAAATATAGCATATAGTTATAAAATAACGTTACCTATTATTTATATTTATAAATACATATGACAAAATGAATTCGACAAAACGACCCATTTAAAAATTATATATCTCCAGTCATAACAAATTCATTTGATTTTAAATTCGAGATTCTAAAAAAAAAAAAAAAAAAAAAAATCGTCATTCAAAGAAAAAAAATGTTAGAAAGTTTTCGAATCGAAATACAAAAATTAGATACTTTCTTTACATTTATCGCTCACATTTGCCGTTCATCCATACAAAAAACGTTTTCTCCGTCTCTAATACGTTCTATCCATATATTAATTATTGACCTCGTCAGAGGTATGCACTTTCAACCACGTAACGTACAATTAAGCCGCTCAAAAAGAATCTCTCATTGGTTGGGTACTTTGTTAAGAGCTTGTACATTTGCATGCTTTTATTTATTCGTACATACGTACGTATGCATGTACACGTACATGTAACTACAGAGTGTCCCAAACGAGAAGTATTCATTACGAAATCTAATGAACTTTTTTCTTTCTTTTTTTTTTTTTTCGAATAAGAAAGAAGCGCTTAGTATTAAATCCAAAATAAATGAATTTTACGGACAAGGATCCTTATCCTTTTTTTTTTTTTTTTTATTGAAAACAAAATTGATTGCCTGTATGACGGCCTTTTTTCGAAAGAGAACAAAAAGGAAAGGAAAAAAGAAAAAAAAATAAAAAGAGAAAAAAAAATAGATCATTAGATATTAACAATAATATTTATCGACATTATTCATTAGTATTACATTCACAGTATATACGTACGTATATATATGTGGAACGATGGAAAACAAAATACACGTAGATAATGCAAAAATATGGAATAAATATTCACGGTATACGTAATTATAACTTTCGAATGACAGATAGATAGATACGTACTACGTACATATGTGTACATATATATATATATATATGCGTACATACATACATATGTATATATACGTTCATTCACGAAGACGAAGAGTATAGTAATTACAAAAAAAAAAGAAAAAAAAAAGAAAAAGAAAAACGAACGAAATTCAAAATCTCAATAAAGTCGGATAAAAATCGATCTGACAATGAGACCGAGCAATCAATTGAATCTTAAAAGTGATCTCGTAAAAGAAATTTTTTTTTAAGAGGAATTGAGGGAGAATTGGAAGACTGTGAGGAAGAAGAAGAAGAAGAAGAAGAAGAAGAAGAAGAAGAAGAAGAAGAAGAAGAAGAAGAAGAAGTAAAAAAAAAAAAAAAGAAAAAATAAAAACGTAAAATATTAAAGAAGTATTCGAACCTACTCGATAATCATAACTGCATATACTTCACTGTACATGACACTGTTGCTCGTTATTCCAATCAATCCGTGAATCCAAAACTCGTTTTCTTCTTGTTGCCAATTTTGCCGCTACTTTAACCTTTGTCGTACCTCTTCTTGTTCTTGATTTTGTCGTTGCTCTTCTTGTTGTTGTTGTTGTTGTTGCAGTTGTTGTAGTAATAGTAATAGTAGTAGTAGCAGTAGTAGTAGTAGTAGTAGTAGTAGTTGTTGTTGTTGTTGTTGTTGTTGTTGTTGTTGTAGTTGTTGTTGTAATAGTAGTTGTTGATTATGTTCTTCCTCTCGTTGGCGATGCGGTAGGTGCACGGAAAGGTGCATGTTGCGCTTGGAGTGCAACACGTATACCTCTCCGTTAAGCGAGCATGGCATGCTCGCTGCCTGTAATTATAGGACAACACGAGTGACATTTAAATCTTACAATGAACGCGGACGTATCATCGATACGAGTGATTCACGATGTGGCTCCTGACTTTTACATTGCTAAGCAAACACGTCGTAATGCCCTGATTTTCGAATAAAGAGAATGCGACAGACCAACAGTGTACTCTCTCTCTCTCTCTCTCTCTCCCTTTTTCTTTCTCTGTCTGTCTCTTATTCTCTTTCTCTTTTTCTCTCACATGTTCGCACGAATGACAATAGGATTGACTTTTATTATTTATTTTTCATATATAAAGTTGCGTCCTATACACTATGAAAGTGAAAAACTACGTTACAACTGTCGAATTGTTAATCTGTAATGTCGGCTATTTCGTTGATTTGTATCACTTAAAATGCCTCCTCTCGATAAGTTCGCCTTCGATCGATCGATCAAACGATCAGATCACGAATTTATGCCATTCAGATGATCGAACTTAGTCTATGACTAGTTTGCACGAGTATTTTCATGATGGACATTAGATTTTCTTTTAAGAATTGAAGTGGACTGACGTGAGAGTGGGGATGGGTTGGGGGTTTGAGGCAGAAGAAGGAGAGGGAGGGGGGTGTGCGGAAAGGGATGTAGAGATAGTTGCAGATTTGGACCAGGAGAAGAGGAAGGAATAAATTTTATCATAAAAATTCATGCGAAAATAAATATAGGAAAGTGACGTGTTATTGTTTTGTGTTATGATCGAACGATAAAAGCGTGTTCATAGGTTCATTTAAAATTTCATTTAATTTCACAATTGGATAAACGAGTTAACGAAAAATTGTGATAGAATACTTTTCGTTAAGGCGAATAATAATAAATTTTGAAATTTGAAATTTCCGATATACAGACATATATATATATATATATATATATATATATATATATATATACATATATGTATATATCGTTGATTGGAATAAATTTTATCGTTTCCGATCAAATCAATAGTTCGAATGATCTTTTTTTTTTTGTTCGAACCTTTCGACCCCGAACCTCTCTCTCTCTCTCTCTCTCTCTCTCTCTCTCACTTTCTACCCCTTTTTTTCTCATACGTAAATATTATGTTTACTATATTTACGATTTGTACTTCGAATGTATCTCGATAAAGTTCCGTAGAGACGATCGATATTTGGATAATCGGGACACTCTGAGTGCGTGCAACGAATCGTGATAGCATAACGATCGTTCCATATTCTGCTTATAGATTTGGGAAATTGGAGGTATGAGAAGAATGGTCCACTTTTTTTTCTTTCTTGTTTCTTTCTTTTCTTTGCTTTTTCCTTTTTCTTTTTTCTTTTTTTGTTTTGTTTCGATTTTACAAGCCGCGTTTTTTTTTCGCCTAAGCGAAAAAGATAAAAAATAAAAGAGAGACAAAGATAGAGATAGATAGATAGATAGAGATAGAGAGAGAGAGAGAGAGAGAGAGAAGAGGGGGGGGGAAATTCGGGGATATCTCTGGGAAAATTGGAAAACGAATTTGAAAGTTGTTAAAATATATATACAGGTCGTTGATTTAAAAACAGGATTTGTATCTTATCAGCCGATGGCCGATGATCATTGAAATGATCTTGAAAAAATATTCGGTCAGAAGGTACGATTTGAAATGGAATCGAGAGCAGAATATATCAGAAAAAAAAAAATAGAGAGAGAGATAGAGAGACAGAGATAGAGAAAGAGAGAGAGAGAGAGAGAGAGTGGGAAGGCGGGGAAGAAAAAAGAAAACGGGAAACAATATTCCCGTGCATTTATTTCGTGGATCATTTGGTGCATCAAGAAAAAATGGGGGCAGGAGGAGCGGCAAGAGAAGGAAAGAAAAGAAAAGAAAAGAAAAGAAAAGAAAAGAAGGATCAATGTAATGCTGTTATCGTGGAATGAAAAAAAAGAAAAAAAAAAACGGGGATAATAGAAGGAAAAAAAAAAGAGAGAAAAGGGAGTAAGAAAGAAAGAAAGAAAAAAAAAAAAGAAAAAATAAAAACGATCATGTTTGTTGGCTTGTACGTATTAAACTTTCAATATAATCAAAGCTTGTTTCGTTTCCTTCGCGCGTTCCGGAAAAGTGACCACAAATAGTCAAGGCGAGTTGAATAAAGCCGCACGCGATATTTACATAACTTCATGATTGTCTTCTCTCGACTCGCAAAGATCGACGCGTTTGCTCGTTCTCTTGTTCGCTCGTGCGCTAACAAAACATGCCACCGCCTCTCGAACTAAACGTGAAAAGTTGAAAGTAGTAAAATGAATTCAGTGATTACGGTCAACCGGTCGGACGTGCTAAGAACGGTAAAGCTAGTTTTCCTTTTTCTCTCTCTCTCTCTCTCTCTCTCTCTCTCTCTCTCTCTCTCTCTGTCTCTTCTTTTTGTCTGTCTTTTCGTCTTTCTCTTTCTCTCTCTTTCGTTCTCTCAAAGTATTTTCCCGAGCTTTATAAAACTTGATAATTCGCGAGTAACTTTTTTCGCGAGTAACATTCGTAAAAAGAATGAGCAAACGTACGACCGCACATTAGTTCATTTTCAAAACCTTTGCTGCGATCTTTTGTCGTTTGTTAATGTCATCAAAAAAAAAAAAAAAAAAAAGAAAAAAAAAATATATATATATATATATATATATATATATATATATATGTATCCTTTAAAACGTACCATTACAAATTTCTACGAAATTACGTCCTAACTCTTTCTATCTGCTCACACATCCGTACTTTTTCGCGTCTAATAACACTTTTCGTAACCTCCTTTTCTTTCGTTCCTCATTTTAAAAATTCGCATTTTCCTAAAATTCGAGATGAGATACAAAGAGGAAAAAGAAGAAGAAGAAAAAGAAAAAAAAATAAGAAAAACAAAAAAGAAAAGGCGAACGAAAGTTGAATAAGTCGGACGAATCGTACGGGAATAATTTTTTTTCTTTTTTCTTCTTTTTTAAATCAACATCTCACGTCAACGATATCTCGTAAAAATTGAAAACACATAAATACACATTGTATTAATATTAGAAATGAATAGAAAAGGATTCTTATTTCGTTGAATTAAATGCGATCGAT